CCCCCCCGGCCCCGGCGGAGGCGGCGGGCGGCGGCGGGCGGGGGGACGGCGGCGCCGAGCAGTTCTCCGAGAAAAAGGCGCTGCGGAGCAAAAAGAGCCCCCCCGCCCCGGGAAAGGCGCCGGGAAGCAGAAAAGGTACAGCGGTGCCGGTAGAGTGCCCCACATGTCATAAAACCTTCCTCAGCAAATATTACCTTAAAGTGCACAACAGGTAAACGCTCCGACTTCTCCTTCCCCTTGCGCGCGCGGAGGATGCGCCGCCCCCGCGGCTCGGTCCCTTCCCGGGGGGGAAAGGGCGGCCCCGGTTTTGCCAGCTGGTCCCAACGCCATTCCCCGGGATGGAAAGGAGGGTCCCCTCTGCCCCTGGGGGTGCTCTGACCTGTGGGGGGGATTATGTGTCTCTGAAACATACTGAGAGCTGCAGTGACTGTCCTGGGTGGCAGTGGGGGCTCCTCAGGGGCTGTGCTGGCTGCAGGGGGGCAATGGCAAATCGTCCTTGTGGGCTGCCAGATCAGCCCGGGCTGGGCTGGATTTCGGGGGCTGTGGGGAACATGTAGCCGAGCTCTGTGAGGATCTCCGGGCTGGATTTCTGAAAGCAGGGCAGGGCCCTGCCATGAGGTCTCGAGTTTCGCTTCAGTCCTGTGTGGGGGCAAACCTTGGCCCTGCAGAATCAAGATTCTGCGGAGCACGGTGGGCACTGACAGCCTGACCACGCTCTGAGGGGCCCCGAAAGTGACGTAAAAGCAGCTTTAGGGTGACTGTGAATAGTGGCACTGGGGGGACATGGGCAAGAACCTGCCTCACCTTTCCCTGTGTCCTCCCACACCTGTCTGTGCATCTGCTGTTGGACAGGCAGTGATGGGGTTCTCCATTTGTATCCCCCCAGGAAACATACTGGAGAGAAGCCATTTGAGTGTTCCAAGTGTGGCAAATGTTACTTTAGGAAAGAGAATCTCATGGAACATGAAGCCAGGAACTGCATGAACCGATCAGAACAGGTACTCCCAGGAGCTCCCATGGCTGCCATCCATCAGGAAGGGAACTGGAGCCTTTTCCGAGCCCCAGGCCGTGCTCAGCTCTGCACAGACACCCATCAGCACTGCATGGCACATATTCCATAACCAGGGCCCTTGTGGCTGGAACCCCCACGGCCGGGACCAGGACGGCATCAGCTTGTGCCCGATGTGCCACACAACCTTCACTCTGTGTTCCAGCGTGCCAGGACACTGTGCTGTACAGGATGCGGGTCCTGCGGGTGCAGGCTGAAGCTGTGTCTGGGTGGCAGTGCCTGGCAGGGGCTGAGCCGTGGGCTCTGGGCTGGGCTCTGGCTCCGGGCTGGGCTCTGGCTCCTGGCAGCTGATGCCGCCCTGTCTCTGCAGGTGTTCACGTGCTCAGCGTGCCCCGAGGTGTTCAAGCGGCGGATGGAGCTGCGGCTGCACATGGTGTCACACACCGGGGAAATGCCATACAAGGTGAGCAGTGCTGGCATCTGGCATCCCTGTGGATGCTGCTGGACACTGGCACAGAGTGGGGGTGAGCGTTTGCCTTCTGGGGCAGCCTGGCCCAGCCCATCGGGGAGCCGAGCCCCCCAGCTTCCTTCCCCAGTCTGTGACAGCCCACTAAGGGTCATTCCCTGTCTCTGAGCTGGAATGTGCTCCAGGGAGACACCACAGCCACCTGCTTCCTGCAGCCCTACGAGGAATCTGTTCTGCTCCCCCACTGGTCCTCCTTGCTCTGAAACCACTCTTTGGGGGCAACTGGAAGCTGACCTCCCTCTCCTTTCTCGCAGTGCTCCTCGTGCTCGCAGCAGTTCATGCAGAAGAAGGATCTGCAGAGCCACATGATAAAGCTGCATGGTGCACCCAAGCCCCACGCGGTAGGGACCAGGGTATCGGGGAGGGGATGATCCTGCACATGCACCTGACCTGGGGAATAGTGCCCATGGCCCGTCTGGCTCTGTTAGTGAGGCAGGGGGACACAGAGCTGCTGGAAACAGGCTTTTTTATGTACAGGAGCAGCTGATAGACCTGAGCACTGACCAGCATTTTGCCTCTTTTGGGCTGTCCCATCTCACTGGGTGTCTCTGAGGCCAGGGGTGCTGCTGTGGTTGCCGTGGGAAGGCCCTGGAGCAGCCAGGGGAGTGCCAGGTGTTGGGCACAAGTGGGTCTGGTGTGGGTGTACCCTAACCCCCCTCTCCTGTGGCCTTGCAGTGCTCAACCTGCTCCAAGTGCTTTCTGTCCCGGACAGAGCTGCGCCTGCACGAGGCCTTCAAGCACCGTGGAGAGAAGCTGTTTGTGTGTGAGGAGTGTGGGCACAGGGCCTCGAGCCGCAATGGCCTGCAGATGCACATCAAGGCCAAGCACAGGTACGATGTGACCCACGTCCTCCCTTATGTCACCCTGGCTCTTCTGGCTGTGCTCCCTCCCCTGTAGGACTGGGGGTTGGCTGAAGGGAGTGCTCCCTTCCTGGAGATGCTGGGCTGAGACCCGAGGGGCTGAAGCCGGTGGAGGGAGAAGTCATGGTGAGTTTTCCCTGCCCACAGAAATGAGCGGCCCTACGTGTGTGAGTTCTGCCACCACGCCTTCACGCAGAAAGCCAACCTCAACATGCACCTGCGCACACACACCGGCGAGAAGCCCTTCCAGTGCCACCTCTGCGGCAAGACCTTCCGGACACAAGGTACCCCTGGGTGCTGCTGGGGCAGGTCATGCCAAGTGCCATGCTCTGGCATCCAGCACCTCCAGAAAGCAGCTTCCCCAGGAGCAAAGCCATGCTCTTGTGAGTGCAGGCTGACACCTCCACTGCCCTCGTGGCACAGAAGGGGATCAAGCTGGTGTTTCCCATGACCTTTACCTGGAGCTTATGCTGCACTTGCCTTTCTGGCGCAGTCGCTGGGATGGGGGGCACGTGCCATGCCACTGACTGGCTGCTGTCCCCCTCTCCCCCCGATAATGGCAGCGAGCCTGGACAAGCACAACCGGACGCACACAGGCGAGCGGCCGTTCAGCTGTGAGTTTTGTGAGCAGCGTTTCACCGAGAAGGGGCCGCTGCTGAGACACATCGCCAGCCGGCACCAGGAGGGGCGGCCCCACTTCTGCCACATCTGCGGGAAGACGTTCAAAGGTAACGCTTTCACAGGGCTCCACAGGAGCTGCCTCCTTCCCGCGGGCAGCTTGGCATCCCTGTGAGCAGGTACAGTGTGGAGCTGCTGCCCACGGGCTCTCACTTCCCTTCCCAGCAGTGGAACAGCTGCGCGTCCATATCCGCCGGCACAAGGGCGTGAGGAAGTTTGAGTGCACTGAGTGTGGCTACAAGTTCACGCGGCAGGTGAGGCCTCCCCAGCTCTGGGGCCTCTGGGCTGTGCCAGGGAGCCGTCCCAGTCCAGGGAGCCGTCCCTCACCAGGCCCCTCTGCATCCCTTCCTTCGCAGGCTCACCTGAGGCGCCACATGGAGATCCACGACCGCGTGGAGAACTACAACCCCCGGCAGCGGAAGCTGAGGAACCTGATCATCGAGGACGAGAAGGATGTGATGGTGGTGCTGCAGCCGCCACCAGAGCTGGAGGTGGGCTCGGCCGAGGTGATTGTGGAGTCACTGGCCCACAGGCCGCTGCCCGAGGAGGTTCCTGCGCAGAGACTGTGCTCAGATGAGAACTTCTCCACGGCGGACGTGATTGAGCAATCTCTGATTATAACGACAACGATTCCTGAAGACTGTGAGACGTAGTGCAGCCACCCTACCACCGAAACACAGTAAAGTGTTGGGCTGAGCCAGTCTCTGCCACACTTGTTCTTTCGAGTTGTGCATCCGTCCCCTCCCCTTCTTCCCTGCCAGTCTCTCACCCCAGACTGCAGGGAAGTCACCATGATGATGTGATTGAGTGTCAAACGAAGAAATGGTGCAAAAGGGCCACTCCAGTCAGTGTCTGTGCACTGTGCAGGGGGATTGGACTGACCTGCTTGTGTCATACTGTGAATCACTTTCTGACACCGGAGGAGCTGGTGCTGGAGGAGCCCCTTTCCTCCAGCCCTCTTACCCTGCTCCTGATTAAAGATTAAAGCTCAACTTCCCCCAGAGAGAGCAGCTCTGCCCTTTCCTTTAACGCATGTGAAAGGATTGTTTCCTCTGTTAAACTTGTGCCTTATTTCTCCTTTATTTTGTCAGGCTTCTGTCAGTTGCTCTTTCTTTCCCCCATTAAAGGTGGGGCAGGACCTGTGTCTGCTCAGCATCGAGATAGAGGAGCTGCAAGTTCACTTGAAACACACTTCAGCAGCCACACAGTGCCTGAGCTCCTGTGGTCAGGGGTTGGGACTTATCTCTGTCCCAAAAAACACGATCCAGGGTTGCTGGGGGAGTTATAACCATTTCCTGAGTGGTGCCAGGGTGGGGGAGATCCCTGTGTGTACCCTCACCCCCAGTCTCAGCCGTGCTCTCCACCTTCCCCCTCTACTGACCAAGGAGGCAGAGAGGCTCTGTTTTAAGTGTACCCAGAATGAGACAGTCCCACTAAAATTTCACTCCAGGCCCTTTCCCTTTGCAGACAACAGAATTGTGTAACAGGTTTTATTTAACTTGACAGCTGCAAGTAAATTTAAAAACAAACTATGAGAATAAAAATACATTATCTGCAAATGTAAAATGCCTTTGTTTCAAAGGATGGAGTTCAACTGTACTGGAGGATTCAACACAATGAATTCTACAAAAAATAAATAGTTATCTGTAGCTGCTCAGCGGGTGGGGTCAGGGGTCCAGCAGTGAGCACTATTTATAGCTCAGCAGAAATACCTCGGGCTGCGCCGCCGGCTCTGCAGGCACAGCACGGACGGGCTGCTCCCAGAAAAGCAGCAGATGCCCCGAATCGCAGGCCCCAGTGTCCCCCCTGCCAGGCTCTGCCCACAGGCTGCACCCTGGCCAGGGGTCTCAAGGCACTGTCAGTGTTCCAGAGCGAGGAACAGCGCGGGTTCCCCCTGGCTGAGGAGTGCAGTGATGGGGTATGCGGGCTTTCCATCTGAATTCAGGTTAAAATACAGACTTCTCCTCTATTGGTTAAAAATAAAAGACCAAAAAAGCAAATGCATTCAGTCACGCCTGAGCTGCTGTCACACTTCAAGGTTCTCCTGAAGATGTGACACTCACTCCTGGGGAGCTGTGCCACAGGTTCGGCCTCTGCTTGTTCCAGAAACATTCCACAAATAAACCACGCAGTTGCTCTTCAGCAAAGGTAGATAAACAGCCCACCTGGCCAGGGCACTTGGGCAAGTATAAAGGCAAATCTTACACAGGCCAAAAAATATGCAAACCCCAAACAAAAAGAAGAAAAAAACCCCTAAAATAACTACCTTTCAATCCCAACACGTGCACAGAAAGCCTGTCTCCCTCCGAGGCACAGAATAGAGGGGGTGGCCAGACCACTGTCTTACCAGACAGACCCCTCCCAAAAACGAAACTGAAGGAAGCAGTTTGGTGGCAAACAAAGTACTATGGGGTGAAGGAGCTCCTAGTGAAAGGTGTCTGGTCACAAGCTGTAAGTGGTGGTGCTGTGGCGCGGGTCAGTGCCATCGTTTTCACCGGGGATCTCAGGTCCCCACGGGCAGCAAAGGGCTGGGGGAGGCAGCAGAGGCCTCACTGCCTGCGGTCACACAGCAGCACATCCAACAGCCAGAGTTCTCATTCCTCTGTGATCAGTACAGTTTTGTGTCCAAGCACTGGTTTGCCTCAGCCTTCTCCCGAAGCAGCCCAGGTTCTGGATGAGGGACTTATGTCAGGCTGCTTCCTGTGCTAAGGCAGTTCATTGAGGTTCTGGTTGTGAAGGTTTTGGTTCTGCCTGCTCAAGCTGATGGTGTTGTCCAGCGTGATGCTGTCGTCCTCCTGCGGGGTTTCTGGCATGAACTGCCGGAAGATGCTGACGCTGCCGTGCCAGAAGATGGGCTCAGGGAGCCGGCCCACCACGCTCCACGTTCGTGTCTCGGGGTCATAGGCTTCCAGGACATCTGAGAGTTCAAACGTGTTATCGTAGCCCCCCGAGACGTAGAGCTTCCCGCCGAGCACGGCCACACTTCCCCCAACGTGAACCTGCAAAGTAACAATGAACACACACCACGGTCAGGGGTGTTTGCCCAGTCTGGCAGCTGATTGAGGGGGCGGGTGCAGTCTGGCAGCTGCTCCTTGGAGGAGGCTCCATCCCTGCCAGCAGCAGCTCAGGCTCCTGAGGCAGCACTGCCCACAGCTCTCACGCTGGGCTGAACACCCGGACACGCTGCCACGTTCAGGACTTTGTTTTCCTGATGACTCCGGTACATTTAAATCCGCTCCATGTGCAAGGGGTTCTGATCAAAAGAGCTCTTCATTTTCCAAAGGTAAATGAAACCCATTTGTAATACTTAAGGCACCCTGGAGGATGGCAAATGTCCTACCTGAAGCATGGCAGGGATTTTATCCCATTCATTCTTTGCTGGATTGTAAACATCCACTTCAGCCGAGTCGTCTCTGGGGAAGAGAACACAAAATTACTCTTCTGCATTCTAGAAACTCTGCTTGAGTTCTTCACCACTGCCAAATTTAGGTGGGTGGGATGAGAGAAGAGCTAGAGGGACATCATAATCCCCCAAGGCTTCTCTCACCCGCCCCACTTGCCAGACAGGAGGGCGACAGTGACAGGTGAGGGGCGTTTGCGACGCAGAGACACCGACACAAGAATGTGAGGAGGACAAGGTCAGGGCAGCTGAAGAGGAGCTGTCAGTCCTTCCAAGACAGTTCTGGTACAGATGGAATCAAGAGGCTGTGAGGCAGCTCCAGGCAGGGCCGGCTCCAGACCAGCAGAGAATGCCTGAGCCTCACTGCTGTGCTACATTTACTGGTATAAAACCAGTCCCAGCACAAGGGATCATCACTCAGAGGCTTTAGTCTAAGCTATTAAAACAAACCAAAAATTGAATTTGCCATTTCTACTTGTTACCTATTCCTCTGCCCTCCAAAGATTATCCCACAGCTCTACACGGAGCAGCAGCCCATGCACAGCACATGAAATCAGGGGAGAACACCCGACCCCGATCACCTCCTCACTGACTCCTGCAGGTGCACAAGCAATCCGAAATCCTGAACTGTCAACCATCAGTATTTTAAAGGGGATAAGAAAAAGGAAATTCTATGGAATCAGCTTGTGACAAGGAGCTGAACAGCTGCAACACCCCGGCAGGATGGACTGAAACCAGGTGACTCGAAGAGATGCCAGCAAGACACTCAGCTGGACCCAAAGGGATCAAATAAAAGGTCTTGGGCCAAAGCTGCTGCTTTATGTAAAGCCAAGAGGAGATTAAAAAAAGAGAAGTGGCTGGAGGCCCTCACAGAAGTCTCTGTTTGCTCAAGAGTCAACACAGGGAGGGAGATGAAACGCTCCAGCCCTAGCATGCCTTCCCGTTTATTTTTAATTAAGCGGATAACTGAAGTATCTGCGCCATCAGGACAGCTTCAGATGGGTAATTAAGTCCCAGTTTGGAAAGGCACTTAAAAATAGTGACCAATCACTTCATCTTCAGCCTTCTTATCGCTGCTGAGACGGAAGATGTCCTCTCCTGTGCTACAGTTTAATGTTTTCTTGGAGCTTATGTACTTATTTATAGCAGCGAGGGGGGCTGAACCAGGAGCCAAGGAATCCGAGAAGCCAATTTCCAAGCAGCGCTGCTGACTTCAGCCAGATTTACACCTGGCTGTTCCCCAGCCCGAGGTTACACTCAGACATTTTTACACAATTTTAAGGGTAGCCCCACCAGTACCATCAGGGGAAGGAAGCACTGCAGTGCTGTCCCAGCACAGTGCCCTCCCTCCAACACCTCCAAAATCCTGCACACTTTCCCAGGGAAGCTCCAGGCCCTCCCTGCGGGGACACGGGAGGGAGGTGATGGCTCCCACTACTCACCTTATGAAGTACATGAGGCCGTTGAGCGTGACGGTTTTGGGGGCAAAGGACCAGGGGGGCAGGTGGCCGCAGTTGACAAGGGACCAGAGGTCACTGTCGGGATCGTAGCACTGCATGACCATGGACTCTTTTCCAGCCAGGGAGCCGATGGCGAACAGCTTCCCGCGGCACGAGGTGGTGGAGCAGTTGTCCATGGGGTACAGCATGGGCTGCAGGGCTTCCCAGCTGTCCAGCGTGTGGTCGTAGCGCTCTGTGCTGTCGGAGGCCACTACGTAGAGCAGTCCATCCAGAACTGTGGAGCTGTGGTATTCCCTGGCTTTCAGCATGGGCGACACCTCCGTCCACTCGTTCACGCTGGAATTGTACCTCCAGACACAGTCGTACAGCCTGGACCCGTCTGAGCCCCCTGTGGCACAGCACGACAGGGTCAGAGCCGGGCTCTGCACAGCCACGGGCGATGGCAGAGAGCTCTTGGCACCAGCGCCTGTGCTACAGCTCCAGCTACACCTTCCGCACACAGCCCCTCCCGCTGCCCTGGGCTGCACGATGGGGCAGAATTTGGGTGCTGGGGGGTGGCACTAGTGTGTGCCAGGAGAATTCTCATGCAAGTTTTGCACTGTTCCCAGCAAGCCAGGAAGGATTTCTCCCACGTCCTCCCTAGTCCATACTCAGCCATGAATCAAAACGAGGCTCTCAAGTTTCACCACCTCCATCCTCTAAACTCTCACTTCTCTCCCATTTTGTGGCCCCTGCCTGTAACACACTGACACTAAGAAGAATGACCCAAGATCCCCAGCAGCAGCCTCGCACATGGCTCCTGGCAGGACTGGTCTCCACGGACCCACCAGGGACCACTCCAGGAAGCTCC